AATGAAAAATTTATTGGAAAAAAAAAGAATTAAGTCAAATAAATAATAATTACAATATTAAAATTGAAATTAATCAAATTCCCGACATAAGGTAAATGAATGAATAAATGAATAGATAGATAATATGGAATCTCGAAAAGGCCACCTCCCACTCATATTTATGACTTATTATTGTTTGGTCTAGTACGATAAACTGTTTCGATGTCAGGTGGAACAATACCAACATTTTCCCATTCAAGTAACTTGTAATGTTCATCTTTCAACTTTTCAATAATTTCACCTTTGTATGTGATCTGTAAAGCTTTTAATTCTTTTTCCCCTTCTTCACCTGATAATAATTCTTCAATAAATTCGTCTGTTCTTTCAAAGGCTATCGTTGATGATTTATTATCATCATCAATATTATTATTATTACTATTATTATTTTGCGCAATTTTTAAATTTATAACTTTGTGAAATTACCTGGAAGACGTGAGGCATTTCTTCATAAACCTCAAGAACAACTTTTGTAGGTGTTTTATAAGGAGAATTTTTAAATTTTTCAGCATTGTAATAGGGCAAATTGTATTTTTCTGGATTAGCAGCTTTATAAGCAAAATAGATATTCTCATCTCTTAATATTTCTCCATCACCTGTTTGCTATACAACAAAAAATTATTTGTTATTGTTGCAAGATTGATTTATCATGTAAATGTTCAATTTTTTCAAAAAAAAAGATATTTACCACTAATATTGGTGGCAAACCACCTAAACTTTCAGCATACAATGGAGAAACGTACGGAATTGCTAATCCTTCATTAGACACATAAAATTGTATACGGCCATCATGTTCAAATGATTTATGCCAAAATTTTGGTTTATTGTCAACATTTAATTGGATTTTTTCTGATAATTCTTTTGCCTTTTGTTCAAATTCTTCCCACCACACAGGAGATGTTGTTTTATGAGCAGCATCAGTTGACAGATAATCTGTTTCATCACATCTTGGATCTTTTACTGATGGCATTGTGTGAGCTAAATCAACCCATGGTGACCACACAACAGCTCCAGCTGGAAATGGCAATGATTTTTTTGAGTCACGTATAGCAAGTAA